TATCATCATCAATAAATAAAAGAAACTTTGAAAAAAAATCCTTATCTACAGTGTATATACCCTGTACATGTAAGTACAATGTAGGCTTCCTAATTATATTGTGATGTGTTGAAGTAAGAACACTTTTCACACCTTAGGAGGATCATGACTACATGTACACCTAATAATGTGATGAGTAATTGTATAATAAAAAGCCTTTTTAAAGCTAAAGACCAGTTATGGTCATGCAATTGCATAATGAAAGAAACGTTGTGAAATCGATCAGAAAAGGTTGATCATCTACAGTAGCATAGATGTACTGCAAGGTTCTCGAATCATCAAAATTATAAGAAATTTGGCCAAGTCTTCATAAAGTTAGAAGCACTGTACACAGAAAGATGTATATGGGACTACACACACGTGCGCGACACGTGCATTTGTATCTCTCAACAGTATATAGATATACTAATTTACCAAATATATCAATTAGTAGGCAGTTTCCCGTCAAAATTGTTATCGTCATGTAATATTCAAAACATATTCTTTCACATGATTGGTAATAAGAGCTTCCATTTCATTTTTTGAAATTGGGGCGTTTCCAATACTGGTCTTTACCTTTAATGTAAAAAAAATCAATGTAAACAATGATTTTACCCTTTTTTTAAAAGTCATTCCAAGCAAATTATTTGGGTTAAAAGTAATTTCTGACCTTTATCAAAAAATTTCATTACAACAAAAGAAAAAAAAAATCCACCACAACTAAAGTTCTTTATTTTCTTTAGTGAGAAGGCTTCCTAATCCTATTGTAATGTGTTGAATCTAGCGAACTATTCACACCTGTATCGGTTCATGACTAAACTTAACGATGTGATGAGTAACGTCTCACCCTCGTACTAATTGGGAAATGGCAACTTGGCAAGACTGTCCAATACATACATGTATTAAGTTATTAACAGTCTGAACTCTGGACTGTCTCGGGCAATAGGGACAGCGTTTCACAAAACCGTCACTAAAGTGACTCAGTATTTTAAACATTGTTGAAGGTCGATGAAAAAACTGCGTAATATTTTAATGAAACGTTACTTATTATATTCCTTCTACTGTACTAACTTTCCAACATGCAAAATATCCTGAAAGAATTCTCAAACCACAAAGATATTTATGGTTTTCTTTGAAGGTGTCACCGTGCAACACCCTCTAACAGTAAATTCTCTCAACTGTTTTTCCATGAAAATAAAACATAAAACAGGCTTTTAAAAACACTTAAATGTCTGGAATGGTATATAGAGCCAATTCATTGCTTTGTGACGATTTTCATTCACCTAAAATGTAATTAAATTGTAATAATAAAGTTGGGAGAATTAAGGAATCATTCTGATCAGTTTTTCCCAATTTGTATCATTGTTAATGGTCTGTTTTCACTCAAACTTTCAGATATCTTTAATTGTACCTCTAGCATTGAAGTCGCTTCCTTAGCACCATTTTCTCTCATCTGAACAATGTAACCAAGTCCCTTTAAGTTTTCATCAAATTTTCATCAATCTGCTTCTCTGACTTTCGGCGGTATATTTAAAGCAAAATATATTCAAGGTTTGATTGTCCCCGAGTATACATACTTACATTTACATTTAGCATCAGTCAGTTAAACAATTAGACTTTTATGATGTATAAATTATGTTTGAATATATGTCAAATGCAATGCTGATAGTAATTTCCTGAAGAGATTTTCTGGGGACTTGTTATGATGTATGAATTATGTTTGAACATGTCATACATGTCATATGTCAAAGGCAAAGCTGATGGTAATTTCCTGAAGAGATTTTCTGGGGACTTGTTATGATGTATGAATTATGTTTTACATGTCATACATGTCATATGTCAAAGGCAAAGCTGATAGTAATTTCCTGGGGAGATTTACTGGGGACTTTTCATGATGTACGAATTATTTTTCAACATGTCATATTTCAAATGCAATGCTGATAGTAATTTCCTGGGCAGATTTTCTGGGGACCTTTTCATGGTGTATGAATTATGTTTGAACATGTCATATGTCAAAGGCAAAGCTGATAGTAATTTCCTTGGGAGACTTTGTATTCCTTGCCCTTTGTACTTGAATTACATGTATGTAAGGCATTAATCTTCATTACCAACTTACCAAGTCCCTCAGACAGGATTAGAAGCTGCCGGTTACCTGGTTACTTTACTTACAAGCATACACATGACTGTATGGTTTCTCATCAGTCAGGTAAAACAATGGAACAAACAAACAAAACTTACAGCTACACATGTGCTGTACACTGTACTTATACAATGCACATATATGTGTATGTTTACATACATTTCCATGGCAACTAAAGTACAAACAAACACTTTGATCAGCAGAATACTGTCTGTAGACATATTACACTAAGTTTTACCCAATGCTAATAATAGATACTGGATTAAAGATTAACATGCAGTCAAAATAAGCCATTGCCTACATGAGAACTTGATGGTCTCTGTATTAATATAGAAATTAGTTTATCTTAAACATTGATTTAATTTGTATCATATAGGTTAGATTGAACAAAGTTATACAAATTCCCCACTTGGAAAACATTCAAACTTCCAAAGTAAGTAACGATTAATATTATCAATTTTAAAACAATAAAATACAGCCCCACTTTCCCACTTGGCAGTAGGTTTAAAGGCCCACTGCACTACTGGTAGCTACTTGCGCCCTCTATATAACAAACCATGCCTAATCGGTGACCATTGGTCCCCCATGATCCTCTTTTACTTATGTTAACTGAGAGCTGAGTTGATGAGATAACCACCTGTCCAGTGACCTTGTAGAACGGTCTAATCCCTCCTTTAAACTACGGCAGATAAGCTTTAAAGGGAACACACATACACTGTACTGTACCGGTACATTTATGTAAATGTACATTACTGCCAAAATCATTTTTTTCTAATTTCAAGAACCTTGATATCTAAACTTCTTGATTACACTCTGTCTTGAAATACATTATGTAGCTGTATAATGTTTGCAAGAAAATTGTGTTTAAAGGTATAAAGCTGACCTTTTAGGTGGAGTTTACACCTGTTTTAACCACTTCAGATTAGAATATATCCCTTCTTTTCTTTATTTTTAGGCTCTTTGATTAAAAAGGAATTGAAAAGAGTCAAAGCCCACGGAGTCATCAGAGACCACCTAATGAATCATTAAGCTGGTAGTTACTCCCAATCCCCCTGCGGTAGCAGACTGTCTAGAGGGGATCATTCACACAAGAGGTAATGTACATGTATACTCTTAAAGGCATCTGTTAAATTATATGTACATGTATGTTAAATATGAGATGCATGGCCCTACATATACGTGTTATCAGTGTCTGTAATATGGTGTATTAAATATTGAAGCCCTACAAAAATTGTGCTTCAAAATTATCATAAAGTGCCTCAAAAAAATTAAAATCTTTATGTGACCGGTTTACCCATACAGTACTCATTTTCACCAATAGACTGTAATGTTATAAAAACCGTTAGGAGAATGTCATCACTGTGATATAAGTAATTAACAGCTATGTAACAAGTATGTACAATGTACATGTAAATTTCTATATTAAGAGGGAAATGCCGACTTAAATAAATGATAATGATAAAGTAGTTTCATGGGTACTAATTCAATGGAAATTTGTATTAAAATAAGAGCCCCCGTCAGCACTAAAAGAGCCCCCATGAGAAGGCTCACGGGGGTTCTTTTTTTTTGGAAGAGCCCCCATGGACAAAAAATTAATTTGAGCCCTGGAAGAGATAAATTAGACAAATGGTATGTCTAATCTTGAAGCAAGCAGATTAATTAAAGGTAGGCCTACTATGTCCCATTTGCATGCCCAAAAAAGAAAAAGTTAAATTCCAACTGCATTTGAAAGATAATACTAATTTAGAACTTCCCTAAAAAAGGTGGGGCTTGAAAATGTCTTCAAGTGGGAAAATAATGACAATTAGTTGTCAAATCGACTTTAGGGCTATAGAGCCCAAAAGTAATAGTCTTGATTTTCAGACAATTGTACCGAAAAGTCATACGTTTTATGCTGCGCAAAGATTCAATCAGTTTAATCTTGGCCATCACAAGAAGTGGGTTATTGATGTAGACAAATGCTCATGTACCCTTTACAACTCTTTTCATGTATGTTATTACCAAAGAAGAAAAAAGCCAGTCAGTCACTAAATAGTGTCTGACAGTGAAGTCTAGCAAGTAAACAGGTTTCCTTGCATAATTTGAATATGAGGACACTGCTAACGTTTAAATTTCACACACAGATAGGACATACATGACATATTCATAATTCCTGCAAAGTTCTACAGAATTTGAGGGTGGCTGCAAAAGGGACATTGTAGTACCTTTAAGATGACAGTCACCATTCCAGATTGTATGTCAATGTTGTACTGAAAGAGATGTTAACCCATTTTCTTTTATCCCATGTTTCACCATTGATATTATATGTTTGTTAATTAAGAATAACAGTAATCAATATAATAAAGTAAAAAATAATATGGAGGAGTTTTAGTATTTGCGCTCCTACATGTAAGTAATATTATACTTATTTAATTATGAGTCATCTTTAATTGGCTTGAGTAATTTTCCTCCTCCTCCTCCTCCTCCTCCTCCTCCTCCTCCTCCTCCTCCTCTTCCTCCTCCTCCTCCTCCTCCTCCTCCTCCTCCTCCTCCTCCTCCTCCTTCTTCTTCCTCTTCCTCCTTCTTCTTCTTCCTCTTCCTCCCCTTCCTCCTTCTTCCTCCTCCTCCTCCCCCTTCCTCCTCCTCCTCCCCCTTTGGGTGTCAGAGATCAGCAGCACCAAGCTGCCTCTTTTATCTACGATATGATCTATTGACCCCCCCCCCCCCCCCCCAAAAAAAAAAAGAACAAAAAAAAAAAAAAAAAAAAAAAGTACATCTATTTTTTTCTTCACACAATCACAATATCTGTCAATCCAGGATTTCACAGAACTAGAACATCTCAAATAAATTTATTTTTACTTACCTTTATTTTGATTTGGCAGGACTTTGGATTGTGTTTCGTGCAAGCTTTTCTGTTCAAAAATCACTAAACTCAGATCAGAGCTGCCCATTAATATCTTCCCTTTTCTTCTAATTCCATCCATGTTGGCTGATTTAACTCCTTTGGTTGTTCCTTTAAAAAGTTTTAGGCAAAGAAAGGGGATGAAACAGAAGGCTCAGATGAACCCCTACATAAATTCTTGTGGTGCCACTCACAGAGGTAATTGGTCTGAATCTTCCTTTCTAAATTCCAAATTAATCCAATCTATGGCAAAGCTGATCGGATCATTTGATGTTTTGTGCTGCAGTTTGAAGAGAAGTCCTGTCCCAATAGTTTAGTTAGTAAAATGATGTTGAAAATCCAATCTGAGGTAAAAAGTCTATTCAGATGGTTTAGGAATCTGACGAACCAAGTCCAATCCTTTTCGACATTCTGGAACCATGCCAGTGTAGTTACAGTGTACCAGGGTACATGCAGTTGATTCCCACAGCTAGCTAGTGTCACTCGCGTCTGAGGGTCACTCGCGGTTATTCTACCGCTATGATTCCGGCGACTCGATGTGTCAACATGCTAAAATCTCGGCATGATCGGTTTCGGCGCGTCTTGTCGCTTTTCTCACCTCAAAACGACCCTTCAAAGACTCGCATAAAATTATTAAAACCACTAACCAGAACAGCTTTTCAAATTTCCAGCACAGTGTCAAATGATGATATATGGTATATTTGTTGCACTGGTCAAAAACAGTCAAATTTAGATGATTTTTCCTTATGGGTCCGAGCACAGGTTCCCGGAAACGTTATGGTTTTCGCTAACAACACAAGGTGCCTATGTTGCTTACTTCCGCATACCACAACGAAGTTTCGTGACCCTCATGGCTAGCCTGCCAATGCACTATCATCACACAGCTGACAGAAACGTAGTCTGTATTTTCAAAGTCAGTTTTCAATTTACAAAACAAATCTTTCAGTAAAAATCCAGCTTTTAAAAGAACATATTATTGTCATAACTTAAAACATCATTCCATGTTTTAAGTTTTCGCGAACAATGCAATGAAAAGTAATTTCTAAGTCAGATTAGTATAATATGTCTGAATTTAGACTAAAAAGTTTTTGTTTCTAGATTGAATGATCGTTGATAAGATCATAGATGGCGTCCTTACTTCCAATCGACTCGCGCAATTTCAACCTCAATATTTGCTCGCGATCTCTATCTCTGTCTATGCATCGCAATGATTATGTAACGAATTAACGATGGCTTATCAAAATAGGCATATTCTATGTTGGTGGCTGCCCTGTAGATTCTCTCATTATTTATATCAATGACGTTTAGGATCTACTCACGCCACAAGTGTCGCCTACCCAACGTCAATATGCTATATGACCCCTGATTATTTGGCCCTTTATACATGTGAATGATTTGGCTTACGTGATATAACCGGATCTCAACGGGCTTTCAAAATAATCAACTGAAAAGCAAGCTGATATTTGTTTTTCTTCTTTTTTCTAGTTATAATAATCAGCAATGTCATGACAACGAGAAAGACAGAAAGATAAAGTGATTGCAGTAGGCCCAATATTGCGCTATTATGTCGGGGGCGTATATAGAGGAACGGGGCAGTGCCCAAATCGAATGAGCTGGGAAAGGGGTGTATGTGTGCAAGAGAGACAGAGAGATCGAGAGATAGATAGACAGAGAGAGAGAGAGAGAGAGAGAGAGAGAAAGAGAGAGAGAGAGAGAGAGAGGTGATGATGGATTGAAAATGTAAACAATATTTTGAGAGGATAACTCGATGAAAGCTTTTATAAAGTCATCGTTTTCAATTAAATTTGGTCTTGAATAGGAAAAATAATGGGGGGGGGTAGTAGCAGAAGAAGAAAAAGAAAATAGATTTAAGAAGAAAGAGTAGTAGAAGAAGATGGAGATTAGCATAGACGATGGATATTTGGGTTCAGAAAAAGAAACATCCTCCACCAGATGTGTCCCATTACTATGTCCCATTTGCAGGCCAAAAAAATGAAAAAGTTAAATTCCAACTGCATTTGAAAGATAATACTAATTTAGAACTTCCCTAAAAAAGGTGGGGCTGGAAAATGTCTTCAAGTGGGAAAATAACGAATATTAGTTGTCAAATCGACTTTAGGGCTATAGAGCCCAAAAGTAATACTCTTGATTTTCAGACAAATTGTACCGAATGGTCATACGTTTTATGCTGCGCAAAGATTCAATCAGTTTAATCTTGGCCATCACAAGAATTGGGTTATTGATGTAGACAAATGCTCATGTACCCTTTACAACTCTTTTCATGTATGTTATTACCAAAGAAGAAAAAAAGCCAGTCAGACATTCAATAGTGTCTGACAGTGAAGTCTAGCAAGTAAACGGGTTTCCTTGCATAATTTGAATATGAGGACACTGCTAACGTTTAAATTTCACAGATAGGACTTACATGACATATTCATAATTCCTGCAAAGTTCTACAGCATTTGAGGTTGGCTGCAAAAGGGACATAGCACCTTTAAAACTATGATGAAGAAAGGAGAAAAATAAATAGAAGCAGATGGAAGTGAAGAAGAAGCAAAAAAAGAAGGAGAAGGAGAAGAGGGAGAAGAAAGAGTAAAAAAAAGAAGGGAAGGAGAAGAAGTAAAGAAGGAGAAGTTTAAAATAAGAAGAATGAGAAGAAGAGAAAAGAAAACAAAGAAAAAGTATAGAAGAAGAAAAACAAAAACGGAAGAAAAAGAAGACAAGGAGTTTTTAAATTCTGATGGAAATCCATTTATATCGGTGTATATTTTTCTATCTCTCTAAAAATCGGATTAATAAAATTAATGATGCATGCTATCATTTCATTTAAATATCAGGTTTCCTCCGCTTATATTGACAGACGGCTATAAACACCCATGATATTTTTTAATGTAAGCCAACTAATGACACATTGTATTCTTTTCATTCTTAATTCTCTCATATCCAACCTATAAAATCGATCTAATTCACCTCAAAGAAACCCTATTCATTGATTAATCTCTTACGATTCTCCTAATCCCTAATCCTTCCTTATCTAATTCTTACCTTACGCGAACGCCAGAACCAAGTAACAATCGAAATTCGTTCTTTCTTTGTTTCACAAGATTATGGTACCTTTTCCACAGGACCTTGTATATATTAACGTAGCTCCTCAAATATATAGAGGAAGTAAATGGCAGGCTTTGTTAGACCCGACATTGTTTTAGCGCTCTTTGCTCATTTATAATAATTATGTAGCAATTAAAAAAAGAAAAAACCCACTGCTGATATAATACACTTTAGCACTTGGCACTCAAGCAGCAGTAGGATAAATACAACCTGAATGGAATGTACTACAACGAAAGTAGAAGATTAAAAAGAAAGAGAAAAAAGTACATTCTGTGGAGTAGAGTAGGACCTAGAGGGGCATTAGTGTTTATGGGGAAGGGGCTGCAAGCTGGTGAAATACAGGAGGGGGGGGGGGGAGGGTGGAAAGTGTCTTACCGTACTATTCCCCCGCCGCTGTCTTCTATGCCATATTGGTATATTCTCCCTTTTTTATTTCATCATTATTATTTTGCTGTCATTCGATCGGAGGGGGTAGTTCCCTTCCTCTATAAGCTTTACCATTGCAACATGTTTTAATTTCCATTCCCTTCTAAGCTAACAGTTACTGTATTTTCTAAATTATATACCATATCAAAACCTTTATTTTATTCACTATTCTTTATTACTCTCTCTTCTCTCTCTCTCTCTCTCCTATAACATGGACCTACTCTCCGACTCTCTCTCTTTCTCCTCCCTTCTGGGCCTCGGACAGGGGATGTTGGGGTGGGGTGAAAATAACATCAACCTTGTCTCTTTAGGGGTTAGTATAGAATTTTACTAAAACGTCAACTGTTCTAAAAGTATGTGTGGATTGCTTTTCTCTTTCTATCCTTCTTTCTTTTAGTTTTTTGACTATCATAGATTTTTTGGATGATTAATCCCCCACCCCCAGCCATAGAATCCTGATTACGCTACAGTCATCACTAAAACCATTACCTTGATTCATCATCAATAGTATTCCAATGCTTTTCATTCTAGTTTTTAAAGATTATTTTTCCTCTACTTCTTTATCCAACCCATTCCTCTTTTATTCACTTTTTCCCCCATCACAAACAATATTCACGGGAATGTTGGGCAACTCAAATGAAAGTTAAAGACAAGCTGTACACGATGGTATTTCATATTACACTCAAAATAAACTTTATTAAACAATTCACTTCTCTAGTTCTTTGATTCTCAATCACATGCAAATATATATTAATTCATGAGAATTCCACAATCATCAATCTCATTCATTTTATATTTAGCTATAGAAAACAAACATATATTAAATTATATCAAGTTAAAATTTAGTACAAAAATAATAAATTCAATTGTTGTATGAGCAATTTAGAAAATATAGATTTTCATACGTTACTGACCACAATGCTTATCGTAAAACATGATTTCACACAATATATCTTTTCAACTTCACACGTTTTATCAGAATATTGATATTCAGTATACTTCTTAATGAAGAATCAATAAATACTTTTTTTTAAATCTTCACATAATTCTAATTCCAATTTATTGAAAATAGATTGATTAATTGATTGATTATTATATAATCTTGTCAAAATAGATATTCATGCACAATAATGTGACATTCACATTTGAATAATTTACATTCGATACATTTTCTCCAAGGTAAGAAATTAAGTTACATGCTTAGATAAAGCAATGACAATGACATTATTATCACACATGATTGTATTCTTGCATTATAGCTGGTTGAGAGACATAGTTGCGTCACCGGCAGTCACTTTTGATTGGTCAGGCTTTTCAGGGAGCACTATATAATTCCCTCCCGTAGAGATTGTATGTGTGTGTTTTTTTTTTGGGGGGGGGGGGGCATTCAGAGCTCCATGATTTATCCTACGACCACGTACGTGAACAAATTTCACAAACTATCTTTCTTAATATGTTCTGTCTAGCAACTGACCCTCACAATCATCAATATGAACAAGTTAAACTGGCAGCATTTAACAACTCAACTATATAAGAGTTTATAAAAGTGACCTTTGGTAAGGCATTAATCCTCATTACTGAGTCCCTCGGAGAGGACCTTAAGCTGTCGGTACCCTGGTTACATACAAGTATTCAAATACTGTCTTAGCAGTAATGTAATACGAACAAACAAAATTTAAGATTATAGAGCAAGTTAATAGGCACTGTTGGATTAATCCAGGCAACGGTGAAGAGATTTGCCTCTAATGCCCTTTTTTGGCAATTAAGGCAAGAGGTGATTAGAAGGCAAATATATTATTACTGGTATATTTGTTGAATATTTTAATTTGAATAAAAATATACTCTATTCTAAGTATAGCAGCATTCATATCAGTTATCATTGATTTCTATGTTGTATATGATATTTTCTTGTCAAGTTATACAATGTATCATGATAATCATCAAATAATTGCACACAACATAAAAACCTGAAGAAAAAAAACAACAACATCACACTACCGGTAGTTCTTCGAGTATACACCAAAACTCTAAATCAAATAAAAATATATCAAACAATATTTCAAAAAAAATCTAACACCCCAAAAATGTTTTTTTTTTTTTTTTCATTCCACATTTTATTCTTACAGTTCAAAGCCTGTTATAATTGCAGTGATAATTGTTTTTAAAGAAATCTTCTTTTGATATCAGAATGAGGTAATGACAAGCTCTAGCAATACGATAATGGTTTACAATTATTTCTATTATCTCATTCTCACGCAAAAAAATCAACATGAATACACTTTCCAACATTAACAAGGAGATGGCAGATGGAAGTTACAGTGCATGGGTTCGGCATGAGTCCGCATTTACTGTCATTTTTGTGATATTCGTCACTGTGTTATACAGTGAAACCTGCCAATAAAGACCACCCATGGGCGACACGAAAAGTGGTCTTTACAGACAGGTGGTCTTTATGTACAGGTTCCTTAAGTACAAAACTGCATCTGTGATATAAAGAATTGGATGTCCATTAACAAGTTGAAATTGAACGACAGTAAGACAGAGTTTTTTTATTGCTGCTTCACCACACAATTTCAGAAAATTGCCAGACATAACTCTCACCATAGGAAATATTTCCGTAAAACCTACAGACACAATTAAAAACTTGGGCGCATTCTTTGATGTTCATATGAGTATGAATTCACATATTAACAATGTTAGTAGAACGGTCACTTTTCACTTAAGGAACATATCACAAATTCGTAGATATATTGATCAATCAACTTGTCATCATGCTGTAAGGTCTTTAATTCTCTCTAGACTTGATTATTGTAATGGACTTCTTTCCTCTCTTCCAAAGTTACATGTAAACCGTCTCCAGCGCCTACAAAACTGGGCAGCACGTCTTGTGTTTGAGGTCGGTAGAAGTCATTCAGCTCAACCATTAATTAATTCCCTTCACTGGCTTCCAATTCAACAGCGAATCATTTTTAAGTTACTCTTATATGTCTATAAATCATTGCACCACCTAGCTCCTAATTACCTGTCTAATTGTTTAACTTTATATACACCAAGCAGAAATCTCAGATCTTCAAATGATAACCTCCGTCTAAATTATCCAATTACACGTGTCCAAGCCGGGGATAGGACTTTCACGGTAGCAGCATCCAAAGGGTGGAATAATCTCCCCATGTCCATCAGACAATCTGCCTCTATCGATATTTTTAAGAAGGCTCTGAAAACTCATCTCTTTACATGAATTCTCCTCTATGTTTAATTATTTAATTTAATCAATTGAATTTAATATTTTATATGGAATATCTAATTGTAGCCTTTAATTACTACATGTAGTAAAGACCAATAATATTATTTGATGTTAGCGCTCTGAGCCTTATGGGAATGGCGCCCTAAATGTTCATTGTATTGTATTGTATTGTATGTTTCAATGAGAAACCATTTTCAAGAGAAACAAATAATATGGTCTCTGTAGACAGGTGGGTCGCTAAACCAGGTTTGACTGTATATAGTGTAATACTTTTACATGCAAGAAGAGAAAGGAGAGATGGTGCACATGAGAATTTCACATAAATTTAGAAATCACCAAGCTAACAATATCAACATGAATATTCTTTCCCCAACATTCAACAAGGAGATGGCAAGCTGAAATAATACAGTGCATGGGTACCCTGTCATTGCAATTTGTGTGGTTGTCGTCATTGTGTTATATATTGTCCAATACTTTTGGAGAATGGAGACATGGTGCACATGAGAGTTTCACATATCAATTTACAAAAACAAAAACATAACATACTCAGAACATCAGAAAATAATGGCTTGAACCCCTGTTGAACTAGGGGGTATTTCTTGATAGGCCTACGGGTTCGCTGTGTGCAGACTTGTACACACATTGATGGTATTTCCACCAAGTCTGGTGTCAGCGAAATATGGCCTTGCAGTGAAAACTGACGACTCACTCCCTTTACATTCCTCATATGTATGATTTTAATTACTGAAGCCCTTGTAATATCACTGCCACGAAATGTTGGATGTTGTGCAGATTGAATCATTTTTGCATAGATTTCGTTGAAGAGCAGTCAAAATTTCAGAACAATTTTTAATTTATTTTTAAAGCACATCCTTTGTCGACGTATCCCTTCAAGCCCTTCTGCTAAGCACATGGCGAGACACAGAAAGTGCATTAAAATAGTTTGGAATGTATATAGAGTAATGAGGCGACTCCAAGCATTACGGATAGATATTTCCATAGAATTTTTAATTTTGGAAAAAGAACAGTACAGACATTCTAAGAAAAAACTACAAAATTAATGATGTGATATATAAACTTATAATATATGTTCACAACATTTGAGATTAGTATCAACTATTCATCGAAATTCATAAAATATTAAAATTTAAATAGCTTTGTTACAGAATGACCGAAAACTATACCTCCTGCGACATTCCGTAACAAACCTATGTAACATTTAATGTTTCATGAATGGTTGATGCAAGACCCAAAATGCTGTGTAGAGGTGTTGTGGTCTACTGGATAATTCTCCCAGCTGCAGATAACAAGGTACGGGGTTCGAGTCCCGCGGCGGCACTAATGTCCTTTGGCAAGATGTTAATCTACTTTTGCCATTCTCCACCCAGGTGTTAAATGGGTACCCGGCAGGATGCAAAAGTTAATGTGGTTGGATAAGCAAGTGTGCGCTTGTAAATTGGCAACTGGCCGGAATGCTCCCCAGGGAGTGGAGAATGTGCATACATGGTGTGCGGGGTAAGCCTGAATCCGATGACCAGGATATATATATACTGCACCTAAAGACAAAGTATTAGGCGCATTATAAATGTGATCTATTATAATCATTAAAGCATCTTATACTAGTTGATATATCATCTCATTTTATCACAATGTATACGGTATTCTTTATTCAAAATGGGAAATTCTCTGGAAGTGGCATTCCGTAACACTTGGAATTGCGTAACAGAAATCAGCAGGCACTGATCCCAGCTGTTAGATAATGGAGAGTCTCCTATCCGCCTCCACGCCGTATTTGGCCTTGTTGTCCTCGAAGAGTTTGATGAGGGCATCTTTGTATTTTTGTTGAAGTGCTTGGATCTCCTCCGATGTTGGGTTGGGGTTCTTCTCCACCGGGATGGGTTCACCAACTGGAAGTAATGAATGAACAGAGAGAAAAGAAAACAATTGAAAAAATAAGGAAATGAGGATGGGTGGTATTCCGGTAACACGTACTAAGTTAGTCCACACTTTTATGGAGTGCCAGTTGCCAACTCATGCATTTACCCTGCGCAGATTATTTTAATCTTTCAATGAAAAGTGTCCAAAAAATGAATTTTGCAATGAAATGGGAAGAAAAAGATAATATGAGTATGAACTGAATTTCAACAAAGTCTTTGGTAGATTATCTGTGTCATGAATATTGAAGGAGGAAGATGAAACCTAGCATTCCATAGAAGTGTGAACTAAAATTCTTGTTTAGTCTGGACTTAGTCCCGGCTTAAGTTATAAGAATACCACCCGATAGCTCTATAAGAGAGTAACGCACTGAAAAAATACATGTAGCGCGGACATACATGTATTAATTTCCTTCTTAAATTCTACTAAAACATTAATGAATTAACATCCATTAGGGGATGCAAGCCATTAACTTTAATACTGAACTACGGTAAAACCAGAAACGTTCATGCCAGGAAACTTTCATGAATTGTAATGAAACTAATTTTCATGGCAACAAACACTCATTTATTGCAAAAAAAAAATCAGTCTTGTGTCGGTTGTCATTCAATTATTTGTGGCACAAAACTTTTGCAACCCCCCGTGAAATTTGCAAACATTTTGTGTGTGCAAATTTTGTTGTTGTTTTACAGTCAAATATGGGCGTTGCTTCTGGCATAAAAGGAAGACAGGTGGATTTTATAAAAAAACTAATTCTTCAAGGCAACCACTCACCGATTGTATTAATATTCTTTCTATAAGGCAAGAATCCCACACTGTAGTTGAAGATTCCTCGCCCGTGGTAGAGGGGCGGGGCGAATCCAATCAATTTGGTAAGCATCCCCTGAAACCTCCTGAGAAACGAGCCCTCGGGGTTGGAGATCTGTTCATAGATTTCCGTCTCGCCAAACGAGTAGACTGGCACTAAATGGGCACTGTCGGAAAAGAGGTAAAGTGAATCTTGTTAATAAGTCAAACCTGCTTTAAAGGAAGTGTATAAACAGTTTTAATCTTTAAGTATCATCTGTAAAATTGATCACCGCACAAAACTTTAATGATGCATTGTGTTTTACATTGTCTTTAATACTAATTAAGTCAGTGCATAAATAGATTAAAAGACATGAAAAACTCACTTGCACAAACAAGTTGTAATAGAAAAATGGGTAGGTAAGTAGCATAATTTCCGCCAAATTACTTGAGCAGAGATTGTAGGAGGTACTTCTGACATTACCTTGTTAAAGATATTACTCAACTCAACAACATTCTAATTACTCTCATATAAGCTCACAAGCTGGGAGGAATCAATTCAAGGGTAATAATCGGGAGCGCCAGGAGTGTCAAGTCTGACAGATATGTGCACTATATAAGGCCAGTTCTGTTTAAAATAACTTTATATTTCTTCACGTATGTTTCAATGTATACTGATTTTATCACGTATTCAGATCTGAAAAATAAATGAAATGAAATTAATTAAAATTATATAAAACTAAACTACTTTACAATCTGAATCAGATACATACCCATGTTCCATCGCCTTGGCGATGAAGCCCCTCCTCCTGTTAAGATACAGCTTGTAAGCATGGGGGTGGGCCTCTAATGATTCAATAGCCCCGCCCACAACCAGCACCACTGCATTGCCTTTCCCATTCTCACCCAAGAGATAGTCTATACTCTCACGACTGCAGTCACACATACCTGTACAAGGGTTAAAATCACACTCACATCAGATAATCAGATTTAAAGTTAATCTAGATTAAAGCTGGCCTAAAATGATTCAATAGCCCCGCCCACAACCAGCACCACTGCATTGCCTTTCCCATTCTCACCCAGGAGATAGTCTATACTCTCACGACTGCAGTCACACATACCTGTACAAGGGTTAAAATCACACTCACATCAGATAATCAGATTTAAAGTTAATCTAGATTAAAGCTGGCCTAAAATGATTCAATAGCCCCGCCCACTACCAGCACCACTGCATTGCCTTTCCCATTCTCACCCAGGAGATAGTCTATACTCTCACGACTGCAGTCACACATACCTGTACAAGGGTTAAAATCACACTCACATCAGATAATCAGATTTAAAGTTAATCTAGATTAAAGCTGGCCTAAAATGATTCAATAGCCCCGCCCACTACCAGCACCACTGCATTGCCTTTCCCATTCTCACCCAGGAGATAGTCTATACTCTCACGACTGCAGTCACACATACCTGTACAAGGGTTAAAAATCACACTCACATCAGATAATCAGATTTAAAGTTAATCTAGATTAAAGCTGGCCTAAAATGATTCAATAGCCCCGCCCACTACCAGCACCACTGCATTGCCTTTCCCATTCTCACCCAGGAGATAGTCTATACTCTCACGACTGCAGTCACACATACCTGTACAGGGGTTAAAATCACAATCACTTCAGATTTAAAGTTAATCTAGATTAAAGCTGGTATTCTTTCAATTCAACAATAAAGCTTCTTCTCTGAGACTGTGAGCCTAGGGTGGGTCTTCAATGATGCAATTTGCCCCCCCCCCCCCCCCCCCCCCAGCACCGAAACATTGCCTTTCTTGCTGTCACCCAAGAGATAGTCTATACTCTCACGACTGCAGACGCACATTCCTAAAAATGATAACAATTGTAACAGATTTCAAGCACAAGTAACTTTGGATGATTACACCTTATCTTTTGAAAAAGACATTGTTCTTGCTCAAATTTTCTTCATACTTACTTAAAATGGAAGGACTAATGTGAGATCAAGCATGAGAGAAATATGATTACAATTTCTTGTCAATTTTAGACAAAATGTTAGGTGTGCAGACATAGGGCTCCCCTTTAAAGACATATAGAAGTGGGGTCTCATGGGGAATTTGACACCGTTCAGGTGTTATTACCCAATAACAGACGTCAAAGAATGGGTTTAGCCTTAAGTTTTATGACCATCAGGCTTTAAAGCAGGACTGCACTACTTGCGCCCTATATAGCCAACAATGCCTATCGGTAAGCGGTACCCATTGATCCCCCACGGTCCTCTATTTCTTATGTTAATTGAGAGCTGACTTGAAGAGATAACCACCTGCCAGTGACCGCGCAGGGAGGTCTAATCCCTCCTGGCCAAACTAGTGCAGATAGGCTTTAAGTAATGCTCTGTCTTTTCCCCACATGATAAAGTCCTTATGTGACATTTACATCAACTGAAGACTCTATGAGAGACGAGGGGATATTTCTTGATTAGCCTACAAGTCTGGTGGGGGCGAATAATGACCTCTGCACATTGAAACTGACGACCCTCCCCCTTTAAACAAAAGAAAAGAAGATAAGACGTGGACAAACCAGAACTCATGACGTAATCCCTGACCAGGGGGAAATAGAACCACCCTCCCAACGTCAGCAGGGCCGGCCTCATCCCGGGAAACTTCTCTGAGAAGCCGCACGCCTCGGACCCGAAGCTGACGACCGAACCCATGCTCATGACCCCGTGGGGGTGGGAACCCATCATGTAGTTGTTCTTCGGGTCCAGGTCCGCGGTCTTGATCAGGTTGATGGGGAAGTAGTTCCGCATGTGGACCCAGATCCTCCAGCGGCGGATCCAGTTGGAAGGGCGCCCACCACGGACAGGCGTGTGACGGTCATAGTAGATCCATGCTATAAGCAAAAGGATGATCCAGTAGTAGCTAGCAAGGAGAGAGAGTTGGAATAGAAATTTTGGATGAACACTTTAAAATGGATATAACTGTTAGTAAGATTTGTCTAATAATGTTGAGAATTCAGACATTTCATATACTACATGTATCATAAATGTAACTCAAATCTATGAATCTCAAATATTCTTCAAATGTTTGAAAACACATTTTTTGCTCATCTAATCAATTATGAGATCAATATCATACTTAATCTTTTTGTGAGTATTTAATTTAATCTTGATTAAGTTCGGAAATTAAGAAAATCTATTTTCATTAGTTCTAATAATAATAATATTTGGTTCTTGTATAGCGCATACTGAAATCACATTATATAAGGTCTCTATGCGCTACCAAAGAGCTTTGGAAATTATTATTACCCGTAAGCTCCGGCAGCCCTAATCAGCAAATAGTGCATTTCAAGAAATAATCCTACCAGGTACCCATATACCTTACCTGGGTCGAGTGTGGCAAATGTATATTAAAATCCTGCCAAGATTTCTGTCAAGATCAAGTTATCCAAACACTTACCTTGTGAAGAATAGAATATAGGCAGATACGAGTATGGACAGCAGCCCTTGGAACATGAAGCAGAACCACCATTGGAAGACAGCAAAGGTCTCCAGACGCCGGTGGAGCGGGATCCGCAGGGGCGCGAGTTCTAACCCCATCACTTTCCGGGACCTGTGGGAGAGGGAGAGGGGGAGAGGGGGGAGGGGGAGGGGGAGATGGGGGGGGGGGGGAGAGAGAGAGAGAGAGAGAGAGAAAGGGAGGGGAGAGAGGGGAGGCGGAGACATGAATGGAGAGATGGGGGAGAGAAAGGGAGGAAAGTGAAAAAGAGAGGAAGAGAGAGAGAGAGGGGAGAGAATATGGGGAGAAGAATAAGAAAAAGAAGAGTTAGAGATAGGGAAGGGGGAAAAGCGAGGAAAATGTTACCATTATGTGGGTTATGTTTGAGAACCATAGCACACTCAAAGCCTCCTGGAACTCTAAAATATGTACACAGATTATTAATGCTAACAGTTTCAGAATACTATAGGAACAATCTTAATTATTATCTCATGCTGAAGATACTATAAGTACCTTAAAGGAAATGGTACAGGAACTCGGAATTTCAAATTGGTAGACCTATAATTCATCTGCTTTTTCTGGAGATCAATGCGATGGCCTGCAAGATTACAAACATTTCCTAGTCGCAGTGAAATATTCAAATAGTGAACAGATAACAGAGAAAAAAAAAGTTTTTTAAAAACTATTTTCAACTCTGAATATATTTTTTTGTCTATCTTTTGTTCCAACGCTAAGCCTAAAAATATATTTTTTGTCTATTTTCCTTTTTTTTCCATTAGGAAATAGAAGAAAATGGTCTAGTGTTCCAGGAAATACCATAAAAAATATGGAGAAAATAGCCAAAACATATATTGTTCACACATGAAAAAAATGATGAGTGTTATTATAGGTCTATAGCCATTCATTACTTACAGTATGCAATGGTAGAAAGTATGCTAAAACCAGATGCTTGCCTATTTAGAAGTTCAAACACCACTATCACGCTTTTAAATTTACCGTACACAAATACTGCTTCCTTGCACTCACTTCTTCCACATGATAGGCCTACACAAAAATTAGAAACTGATATTCCACAATAACAGACTTCCTCCAGTTGATTAAGGAACCTGGATTGCAATGTGCGTCTCCCACAACAGCATATACTGTTATGGAATACAGTCGATGAACATGTGCATGTACATAGTATTCGCTAGTGTTTTAATTGGCAGAGTACTGGTAGTTTAATAATCAAGGGAAGGATAAGAACAAGCTATTTGGTACATGTAATCTAAGTCTTGTATTGACTTGAGAAGTGATAACTGTAACCTCTATTTTATCTTGACCTTTTAAGGCAAAGTGTCAACAAAAGTACATGTATTGTATGTGGGGTTAGAGGGTGTTTGTGCCCCCCCCCCCCTTCTGACTTAAACTTCAAATGTGCAGATTTGAGTCTTGAATGTTCAGTAGATCTGACTCCTACACTTGTTGATTTTCCACCTTTGGTTAATTTATGGACTGATTCGGTCAACTTGTGGAGTATAGCCATGGCATATGGGTGTGTCATTGTCTCAGCTGATTGGGTGCGAAACACGGAAACAGTTCAGGCAGTTGAATACCTGTATATTAGTTTAATAATAATAATAATATTTAATTTTTATTATATAGCGCTTAATACAAATGTCTCTAAGCGCTTTACAAATATACTATTACCCCGGTCATTGGATTCAGTGCTTGCCCGCACACACTGTGTGCACAATCTCCACTCCCTTGGGAGCATTCCAGCCGGGCGTTACTTGCCGCTCACAAGCTGTTTGACCAACAATGACGGCCGCATCCTACCGGGTACCAATTTTAAAACTTGGGTGGAGAGTAGCAAGTGCAGGTTAATATCTTGCCAAAGGATATTAGTGCCGTGTCGGGATTCGAACCCTCGCCCTTCGCATCTCCAGCCAAGCGCCTTAAACCACTCGACCACGACACTCTTACTCTATTTTATGTTTAAGGGGCATTTAATCAAAATAAATTTGCTATTAAAGCAAAATAAGTCTTGATGTGCCCAAAGTGACCATATATATATATATATATACGGTCATATCCTTGATCTATATTTGGTGACAAACAGATTTTCAGTAATCTACTGTAGTACAGTATTCAATTAGCTTGCCCTGGGTTGAGAGAGGTAACTGGACATGAAATACCTTTTCAAATCTTGGAACAATGCACAAGGTGACCTACACAAATCTCCCCCAAACCAAGAAAACAACAATCCAGAGACATGCCACAAGTAAGTACATGTACACTAGATATTATGACAAACAAATTATTGTTTATCTACCAGGCCAGGGTCATGAGTAAAGATCAAAGTCCAATCCCTATTGTGGTGGTATTAATATAGGCCTGTTTTCATCAGCTAGAAATTGCCAAATAACCCGCAATTTTAATTATCCCGATGGCAAATTATTCAGCTAATTTGCGTCTTCATCAGCCCGCAGTTGCAATTAGCGGGATATTTGGTCGGGATTGTCATCCCAAGATATCTTGGGAAAGTTTGCAAAATATCCAGCTATTTGTCCTCTGCGTCTTCACCAGACCGAAGGCTCGCACTATGCGCTAAACGCTCAGCAAAATATCTCGAGCTAATTTCTCAAGGTCGAGTTTCAAGTTTCGAGGTTGAATCTCCAACTGATGAAGACGCGATTTGTAACTTCAGGATTATTTTCCAAAATCAGAAATGGCGGGCTATTTGGCAATCTCGAGATGATGAAAACGCGCCTATTGTGATGGTATTAATATGTGATTTAATAGAGACCTAGAAAACAAATCCTGTAAGAGACAGTCAAGCAGAAGATAGTCAAAACAAAGTATCACTTGGCTGATTATTAATGAATTTACTTGCAGCTCTCCTTTTTAATACCTTAAAATGTGGATGTGAGATTAAAGGAGAATGACACCCAACAAACATTAGCTGATAATCTAATTCAAAACTGTCAGACAGTTAAACAAAACAATCTCTCCAAAGTTTTCAGTTCCCTTGCAAGACTTTTTCCCAGAACTTTGATCTCTAAACTCCTTGATTATGCTCAGTCTTGAAATACATAATTTAGCTAGTGTCACTCGCGTCTGAGGGTCACTCGCGGTTATTCTACCGCTATGATTCGGGCGACTCGATGAGGTGTCAACATGCTAAAATCTCGGCATGATCGGTTTCGGCGCGTCTTGTCGCTTTTCTCACCTCAAAACGACCCTTCAAAAGCTCGCATGAAATTATTAAAACCACCAGCACAAATGATGATATATGGTATATTCGTTGCACTGGTCAAAAACAGTCAAATTTAGATGATTTGTCCTAAATGGGTCCGCCCAAAGTTCCCAGAAACGTTATGGTTTTCGTTAACAACACAAGTTGCTGCTTACTTCCGCAGACTAGACCACAACGAAGTTTCGTGACCCCTCATGCCTACCAATGCACTATCATAAGACAGCTGAAAGAAACGTAGTCTGTGTTTTCAAACTCAGTTTTTAATTTACAAAACAAAAATTTCCATTTGATCAGTAAAAATACAGCATACACGTGTTTTCTTAGTAGTCAGGCAAAATAAACCATTAAACCAAACATGGCAATATTATATTATATTCATGTTGATCGATGCACTAACTTTTCTTGGTCATGGGCAAGATTATGACAAGCGGCTGGAAGGGGGCGGGGGGGGTGGTGGGGGGGGGGGGGAGGGGGGGGGGTGGGGGGGGGGGGGAGGGAACTGCCAATGTCAACATTTCCTGAAACATCCCAGAGTACAGGAGAACAGGCGCGGATCCAGGGGGGCCGAGCGTGCCTTGCCCCCCGCCAAAAAAAAAAAAAAAAAAGAAAAAAGGAGAGTGAGAGAAGGAAAAGAAGGGAAAGAGGAGAGAAAGGGAAAAAAGAAGAGGAAGAAGAAAAGAAAAGAGGGAAGAAGAAGATCGGGGGAAGGACTTGCCTCCCCCCCCCCCCCCCCCCCCCCAATAAAAAAATAAAAGAGAAGGAAGGAAAGGGAAAGAAAAAAGATAAAGAGGAGATAAAGGGAAGGACAAAATAGAAAGAAGAAAAGAAGGGGGATATCAGTTGCAATTTTCCCGCCAACAAGTTGTGGATCGGGGGGGGGGGAGCAAAAGACCCTAGCCCCCCCCCCCCCCCCCCCGTCCCCGCTAAAAAAAAAGAGAGAAGGAAGGAAAAGGAAAAGAGGAGAGCTAAAAGGGAACAAAAAAGAGGAAGAAAAAAAGAAACGGGAGAAAAGAAGCGGAGATCAGTTGCGGTTAATCCCGCCAACAATGTGTGGAGCGGGTTGGGGACCAAAATGACCGTGCCCCCTCCCCCCCCCCCCCCCCAGCAAACCTAAAAGAGAGATAAGGAAGGGAAGGGAAAGTGAAAGAGGAGAGAAAGGGAAAGAAAAGGGGGCCACTGGCGTACTGATAGGGGAGGGGGGGGGGGCTTTGGAGAAATAGAATTCAAACGTGGTTTATCTATAACGGTGGTTTACAAAATGCTGAAATGAGATAATTTTCCTAAATTTACAGCCAGGCAAGAAAATGCTTCTTGAGATGCCTACATATCAGGGCCCGCGGAACGGCGGGGATCGGGATCCTCGAGCCCCCCCCCCCCCTCCCACACTTTCTTTGAAAAAGTATATTAAAGCGAAATAGAAAGAAAGAGAGCGAGAAAGAAAAAATAGTTAACTGCCAGTGTCACATTATAATGGGGTATATGCTCATCTGACCGTAATTAAACGCCTAAAACCCCTGAGCTTCTGGGGGCTCTGCCCCCTGGACCCAACCATGAGCCCTTAGGCGGGCCCCTCGATACTCATCTGACCGTAATTGAGTGCATAAAACCCTTGAGATTCCGGGACTCCGCCCCCTGAACCCCAAGCCAATTAGTGACCTGCCATTGTAACAATTAGGTATCAAAATAATGCTCATCTGACCGTAATTAAATGCCTAAACTCCTGAACTTCAGGGGCTCTGCCCCCTGGACCCCGTCTAGGGCGCTAAGGCGGACCCCTGAATGCTAATCTGACCGTAAATTAAAACCTTAAACCCCTGAGCTTCCGGGGCGGACAAGGTACCAACATATGTTCATCTGACATCAGGCGTGGTCCCCCAATAAACGCCGGCCAAAAAAGTGAGGAGTGTAAAGGAAGAGGACGTAGGAAGAAAAGGGAATAGACAAAGAACATAATTGAATTCAGACAAGGATTAAGAGTCGAGAACGGTCCAACGAATCGTCTTGTTTCTCTAATGAATTAATGAAGCGTCAAAGCTTCCGAGCTTTGCGCGGGAGAGGGGGATGAATTAAGACGAGGATTAAGAGTAAAAAACTGTACAACGAATCGTCTTCTTTTTCTAATGATTTAATGAAACGTAAAAGCTTCCGCGCTTCGCGCGGGAGGGGAAAAATTATTTCCAGACGAGTAGGCACGTATGGAAGGCGGGGGGAGGGGGTTAGGGGGTTGACCCTCCCCCCTTCGGTTTTTTATGTGTGTATTTTGGAGCACCCCCCCCCCTTTTGTGTGTTTTTTGTTTTTTTTTTTTAAATTAAAAAAAAAAAATATGCCAATGGCTGACCTAAAACAGGTGACCTCACCCCCCCCAACGGAACAAAATGTCAAATTTTCAAATTTCGAGACCCCCCCCCCCCAAAAAAAAAAAGTGTCCTCTTCCCCCCCCCCCCCCCCCCTAAGAAATCCTGGATCCGCGCCTGCAGGAGAAGAACTGATCAATATTTCAAACACTACATCACTCATTAAAATTGTTATCAGAATGAAATATATTAATTACCCATCTTTTGACACCAAATACATGGTGAATAGAGGTTTTAGTTCAAAGTTATCTTTAAAACTCGATGTAAACACACCAAACAGGTCCTTAATACACTAATGCATGTATACGCATATAGTTTATACACATGTGGGCAAAAAATGTTGTTTTTGTGGAAATCAAATCCATAACTTTGGATTGCTATAACTTTTTATTGAAACAGTATATAAACCTCTCCTTCGCACAGGATATTTTCGTTGTACATAAGCAAATTCCTGGAAAGTTGTGAAAAAATTCAATTTTCTGATTTTGATCTATGGAAAATAATGTTTTTTAATAAAATTCTATTTTTGGAGAAAAAAAAAATCATGTTTTTTACTTAAATTTGCAATTTTAATTAATCCCAAATTATTTGAAATTGGTATCAAAATGTAGATAATTTAACTCTTTTTCATATGACACCAAACCCATAGTGGTTCAAGGTTCCTTAAAATGTTATTTACAAAATACTATTTTGTCGTCAAAAGGGTGACTTTTTTGGTGGGGGCGTCCCCCTGGCCACACCCACCATTTAGAACATGCCACATGGTCAATTTGTTATGTGGAGCTATGCGACCTTCACATCTGTGCACATGAAAATTGGTTTCCTTCCCAGCTAGGTTGACCCCCTGGCTCCTGTATTATTAGTGCCGCGGCAAGATTAGAGGCGCGGACCTTGTGATCCACAGTCCGGCGACGTATCCACTCGACATAAAGTCATCGTTTTCAATGAAATTTGGTCTTAAATAGGAAAATTGAAGGGGGTGGGGTAGTAGCAGAAAAAGAAGGAAAAAAAAAGAAAAAGAAAAAAAAAAAAGAAAAAAAGAGTAGTAGAAGAAGATGAAGATTAGCATATACGATGGATATTTGCGTCCAGAAAAAGAAACATCCTCCACCACTTAATTCAGGATGGTTGATGGAGAAAAATCTGATGAAGAATTAAGGAGAAGAAAAAGGAGGAGAAGAAGAAATAGAAGCAGAAGTGAAGAAGAAGTGAAAAAAAAAGAAGTAAAGAAGAAGAAGAAGAAGAAAGAGAAGAAGAAGCAGAAGGGAAGAAGTGAAAAAGAAAAAGTGAAAAAGAAAAAGAAGAAGGTGGTAAGATTACAAGTGGAAAGAATTCTTTCTCGATACTTAGAGATGGTGCACATAGTGTACGGGCTCGAAATCTAGTGACATGGGGAAATTTTTAATAAAAAGTTAGGTTATTATTTAGGGTGCTTTATGTAAACATAACGGCATTACGTTTGTGTTAAAGTAGCCTACATGAGTTAACACTCTTCATGCTCCAACTACTCGAAGTTTGTTCTAATATCTCTTTGCTTTCATTTTTTAAATTCTGATGGAAATCCATCTATACCAGTGTATATTTTTCAGTCTCTAAAATCTGGATTTGAACCACACTTTTAATAAAATGATGCATGTTATCATTACATCTAAAGATCAGGTTCCCTCCGCTTATATTGACAGCCGGCTAGAAACACCCATTATTTTTTTTTAATTTAAGTCAACTAATGACACATTGTATTTTTTCATTCTCAATTTTCCCTCATCCAACCTATAAAATCGATCTAATTCACCTCAAAGAAACCCTATTCATTGATTAATCTCTTACGATTCTCCTAATCCCTAATCCTTCCTATTCTAATTCTAACCTTATGCGAACGCCAGAACCATTAATTACTACCAAAATTCATTCTTTTTTTGTTTCACAAGATTATGGTACCTCAATAGGCGGGGTTGGTCACTGCAACGTGTTTTCATTTCCATTCCCTTCGAAGCAAACATTTATTGTATAGTTTCTAAATTATATTCCATATCAAAGCCTTCATTCACTATTCTTCATTATTCTCTACTCTCTCTCTCTCTTCTACAATGGACTTACCTCCGTCTCTCTGTTTCTCATGCCTTCTGGGCTGTTAATAGAATTTTACTAAAAAGTCAGCTATCCTAAAAATATGGGAATTGTCTTTTCTTCCTTTCCATTTTTTTTTTTATGTTGCTGTTGCTTATCGTAGATTTATGGATACGCCACGGTCATCATCTAAACCACTTACTTTGATTTATCATCAATAGCATTCCAATGCATTTCATTCTAGTTTTAAAAGATTATTTTCCTCTCCTTCTCTTTCCAAATATTATTCCCCCCCCCCAATTTACTCCCATCACAAACAATATTCACAGGAGTGTTGGGCAACTCACATTTAGTTACAGACGAGCTATACACGATGCTATTTCTTTTTACACTCAAAATAAACTTTATTAAACAATTCAATTCTCCAGTTCTTTGATTCTAAATCATATACAAATATATATTAACTCATGAGAATTCCACATCATAAATCATATTCATTTTATATTTAGTTATAGAAAACAACATCTATGAAAATATTTCAGGTTAAGATTTAGTACAAATGTAATAAATTCAATAAATGTTTGTATGAGCTACGATAGAAAATATAGACCTTCATATATTACTAAAGATAATGTTAATCGTTAAACACGAATTCACACAATATATCTGTTCAACTTCTTGTTTTATCAAAATGGGTGAGGTTAATTCACCATTTTTATGATAGAATATTTTAATGAAGAATCAATAAATACTTACTTTTCATTACCCTCCATTTCATTGTTAACATTTCATACTTTTTTTTTTAATCTTCACATGATTCTAATTCAAATTGATTGAAAATAGATTGATTGATTGATTGATTTCTAAATAATTTTAAAAAAAATACATATTCATGCACATTTATGTGACATTCACATTTGAATAATTAACATTTGATACATCTTTTCCAAGGTAAGAAATTAAGTTACACGTGATTGTATTCTTGCATTATAGCTCGTTAAGAGACATTACAGAGTCCCTCAGAGAGGACTTAAAGCTGTCAGTTGCAAACTTACAAGCATTCCAATGCTTTCATAGCAGTCATGTAAAACAAACAAACAAAATTTAAAATTACAGAACAAGTTAGAAGGCACTGTTGGATTTAACCAGGCAATAATGAAGAGTCCCTTTTTTGGCAATTAAAGGCCCACTGCACTACTTGTAGCTACTTGCGCCCTCTATATAACAAACAATGATCAATCGGTGACCATTGGTCCCCCATGATCCTCTTTTTCTTATGTTAACTGAGAGCTGAGTTGATGAGATAACCACCTGTCCAGTGACCTTGCAGGGCTGTCTAATCCCTCCTGTAAACTATGGCAGATAAGCTTTAAGGCAAGAGTCGATTAGAAGGCAAAGATGTTATTACTCGTATATATGTTGTAGAAGTTTTAATTTGAATAAAATTATACTAGTACCCTATTCTAAGTATAGCGCCATTCATATCAGTTATACAGTTATCTCTGATTTCTATGTAGTACATGATAGTTTCTCAACGTGCATGTTTCCGAAGATCCTTTTATCCCCGACTCCATTCATCTTTTCAATTCCAAAGCAAAACATGTTTGATTACTATAAACCTACCATGTCAATGTATCAATATAAATGTAATATAATATAAATTTCAAATATATGCCATGAATATTGCATCCAACTATCAATTACCGTTTGAGCCAGTAACTACAATCTATGTGTCATCAATAAACTTAACAATAAAAACGATGCCGGTAATAATTATACTACTCAAAATGGTAATCGATAATAATAATAATAATAATACAAATGACAATAATAATAATTTATGTATTTATTATCATTTTAAGATTTACTATGGAATAATCATTGATATCAAATAATTTAGCTTCATATTTTGTAAAATGGAATCTGATATAACCTCTTTAACCACCATATATACCGTGGCTTATATATATTACGTCATCTATTGTATGTTTATCATATGTGCATGTTTATCACTGTCCTGTAATATTTCATTTATATATCTGTATCGCAATACTCTGTAACCAGTGGAAAACAAATTTCCTGAAAAGGACAATAAATTATTATACTTACTTATACTTCTTGTCAAGCCTTACGATCAAATAACTACGCACAAACAAAAACTGAGTATACAACATCATACTTGTTTTTCAAAGACCAAAACCCTGAATCAAACAATATTATATCAAACAATATTTCAAATGAAAACCAACACCCAATAACGATTCTTACAGTTCAAAGCCTGTTATAATTTCAGAAACAATAATTTTGTCTGACTTATCAGTGAGTATACAAGTGAGTATACAATATCATACTTGTTTTTCAAAGACCAAAACCCTGAATCAAACAATATTACATCAAACAATATTTCAAATGAAAACCAACACCCAATAACGATTCTTACAGTTCAAAGCCTGTTATAATTTCAGTAACAATAATTTTGTCTGACTTATCAGTGAGTATACAAGTGAGTATACAATATCATACTTGTTTTTCAAAGACCAAAACCCTGAATCAAACAATATTACATCAAACAATATTTCAAATGAAAACCAACACCCAATAACGATTCTTACAGTTCAAAGCCTGTTATAATTTCAGTCATAACAATAATTTTGTCTGACTTATCAAGAAATCTTCTTTTGTTATCAGAATGAGGTGATGACAAGCTCTAGCAACACGATAAGGGTTTACAATCATTTCTATTATCTCTCTACATCAATCACCAAGCTAACAAAATCAAAATGAATACACTTTCCAACATTGTACAGTGAAACCTGTCTATAAAGACCACCCAAGGGAGACACGAAAAGTGGTCTTTACAGACAGGTGGTCTTTATGTACAGGTTCCTTAAGTACATGTTTCCATAAGAAACCATTTTCAAGAGAAAAGTCGGGTGTCATGGAAACTGACGACCCACACCCTTTAAAATCCTAAAATGTATGATTTTGATGGTCATCATACAGCCTTTTCACACACAGCTAAAATTCATCGTATCTAGAGATGATAAGTATAAACGTGTTTAACACTTTAACTCAACAGTTTTAAACATGTTTATAGAAAATTTTCCCAGTGTGAACATCGTTTATACGATGTTGGGATAGATACGAAGTCGCGATCCATACGCCCCTAAAAACAGGCTGCAGATACGAAGTTCGTATCTAGAGAGCTTGACATTTTGTGTGTGAAAGGTTATTCGTGTTTAAACTGGATGGAGCGTGCGCTTTGATTGATATGACATGACCTTCAATGCGCAATGGCACTACTACGCATTTTACGAGCAGTAGTTAATCACTAAACGATTAACGATCGCACCGAAATTTCTGTGTGTGAATGATGTCGTATGTTCAGGTGATTAGTTTAAACACGTTTATACTAATCATGTTTATATAATTTTAGCTGTGTGTGAAAAGGCTGATAATATTACTGCCACCAAATGTAGGACACTGAGCAGAATCATTCCTGTTTGCATAGATTTAGTCCAAGAGCAGTCCGAGAAAAATTTCAGAACAATTTTTTTTTGTAAATTAAGTGCTTTAAAATAGTTTGGAATGTAGACAGAGTAAATAAGTTAATTCCAAGCATTACGGAATGACATTTCCACAGAATTTTCAATTTTGGAAAAAAAAGAACAGTATGGGCATTCTAAGAAAGATCCACAAAATTAATGATATGATATATAAACTTATAATATACCGGTACGTTCACAACAGATGAGTTTGGTATCAATTATTCATCAAATTCATAAAAGATTGAAATTGAAATAGTTATGTTATGGAATGACCGAAAAAGATAACTTCTATGTCATTTTGTCACAAACCTATGTAAAATTCAATGTTTCATGAATGGTAGATGTGAGACCCAAAATGCTGTGAAAGTACCTCATATTAGTTGATACAGTATTTCATCTCATTAATTTGTAGAATTTATCAAAATGTATATGATATTTTTCATTCAAAACGGGAATTCTCTGGAAGTGGGATCCTGTAACACTTGGAATTGCACAATAGACCCGTTTCAAAAAGCCTTTTTCAATGACACATGACAAAAATCAGTGACAAATCTGCTGATAACCAATCAGAAGCAAGTATTTCAGTAGCTTATAACAAAAACTGTCATTTGTCATGGATGACATTTTTTGTAAAAAGGCCCCCCTGCATGCAGGCACTGATCATGGATGTTAGATAATGGAGAGTCTTCTATCTGCCTCCACGCCATATTTGGCCTTGTTGTCCTCAAAGAGACTGATAAGGGCGTCCTTGTATTTGTTGTGAAGCGCTTGGATCTCATCCGATGTCGGGTTGGGGTTCTTCTCCACTGGGATGGGCTCACCAACTAGAAGTAATGAATGAACAGAGAGAAAAGAAAACAATTGAATTTGTAATAAAATGAGGATGGGTCTACAAGAGAGTACACACTGAAATAATGCATGTAACTCAGAAATATATGTAATATTTTCCTTCCTCTCCAAACACGAAACCTTTATACCAAGTAACTGGAGGTAATGAACAGAGGGAAAAGAAAACAATTGAACTTATAAGAAAATGAGGATAGGTCTACAAGATATTAAAGATACTATGTCCCTTTTGCAGCCAACCTCAAATTCTGTAGAACTTTGCAGGAATTATGAATATGTCGTGTATGTCCTATCTGTGAAATTTAAACGTTAGCAGTGTCCTCATATTCAAATTATGCAAGGAAACCCGTTTACTTGCTAGACTTCACTGTCAGACACTATTGAGTGACTGACTGGCTTTTTTTCTTCTTTGGTAATAACATACATGAAAAGAGTTGTAAAGGGTACATGAGCATTTGTCTACATCAATAACCCTCTTCTTGTGATGGCCAAGATTAAACTGATTGAATCTTTGCGCAGCATAAAACGTATGACCATTCGGTACAATTGTCTGAAAATCAAGACTATTACTTTTGGGCTCTATAGCCCTAAAGTCGATTATATGACAACTAATAGTCGTTAGTTTCCCACTTGCAGACATTTTCAAGCCCCACCTTTTTTAGGGAAGTTCTAAATTAGTATTATCTTTCAAATGCAGTTTGAATTTAACTTTTTCATTTTTTTGGCCTGCAAATGGGACATAGTACCTTTAAAGCACTAAAATAATGCATGTAGCTCGGACATACAGGTATTAATTTCCTTCTTAAATTCTATTGAAACATTAATGAATAGCAGGGGATACAAGCCACTAACTTTAATACCTGTAAAAATAACTGTAAAACCTGAAACATTCATGACATGAACATTTCATGAAGGGTGATGAGACTAATGTTTATGGCAAACAACACTCACTTATTGCAACAATTCAATGTTATGTCAGTTGTAATTCAATTATTTTGTGGCATGAAACTTGTGTGAATCTGAACCCTCACGAAATTTACAAACATTTACAGTAGAACATGGGAAAAACGTTTCTAGTTTTAAAAAAAGACAAGCAGATTTTCTAAACAAACTAATTCTTCAATGCAACCACTCACCAATTGTATTAATATTCTTTCTATACGGCATGAATCCTACGCTGTAGTTGAAGATTCCTCGCCCATGGTAGAGGGGAGGGGCGAATCCAAACAACTTGGTAAGCATCCCCTGAAACCTCCTGAGGAATGAGCCCTCAGGGTTAGCAATCTGCTCGTAGATGTCTGTCTCGCCAAACGAGTAGACTGGCACTAAATGGGCACTGTCGGAAAAGAGGAGACGGGAATCTTGTTAATACAGTCAAACCTGCTTTAATGTCCACCTGTATAGAAAGACCACATTTTCTGTTTCTCTTCGAACATGGTTTCTCGTTGAAACCTGTACTAAAGGAACATGTACATGAAGACCACCTGCCTATAAAGACCACTTTTCATGTTTTCCTGGAGCGGTCTTTATATACACTGTACTATCTATTTGAAATATTACACAGTAAATATTAAAATGAGTAGATTCAGAAGAATGTAAATATAGTTGAACCTGTCTATTAATGCCAACCAAGAGAAACAGAAAAAGTAGCCACTGCAGACAGGCAGCTTTTCTAGACAGGTTCTACAACACACATTTCTTTCTATCTATCTCTCTCTCTCTCTCTGGAGTTTAAAAGTATGGCCACTATAGACAGGTCGCCTTTATAGGGAGGTGGCCACTGAGATAACTTTGACTGTACTTGAATACTGTGTGTCAGTATAGGACAAAATTGAAAACCCTCAAGAAATCCATTAAAGGGATCGTTTAACAATGTTAAATCTGAGATACACGGCCCTACGTGTTATCAGTGTCTGTGAAATTGAAGCCCTAAAAAAATTGCGCTTCAAAATGATCAAGAAGTGCCTCAAAAAAGTAAAAATCTTTGAGTGACCGGTTTTACCATACTCGTTTTCCCCAATAGACTGTAGTGTTATGAAAACCGTCAGGCGAACGGTTTTCAAAATGTGTAATTCCAATCATAAATATCTTGATAATCAGACAGGCGATCGGCTTGTAAAAGTCATGGGGTTCCTGACTGACCTAAAGGTTTATAATTATCATTGCATCATGAGCTAAATCCAGAATTTTGTTTCAGGATCTGAGACAAAGTTACCGGATCCCTTTAATCCAGTCCGTGGCAATGTTAATAACCTAGTGCATCACCTACTGAAATGGACGTGTGTGATTCTTCTATATTTTCTATGGGTTGTGTAATAAGACATTACCATGGTCTGAAAGTGGGTTTCTTGAAAGTCTTCGCGATCAAAATATGCTGTAGATGGAATGAAAAATGGATATTCTTGGGTATTGATCAACTGCTGTACATACAGTATGTGAAGAAAGAAGGCTGGATATGCTTCACAAGTACTCATGAAGGAAGTGTATACTATATACACTTCTAACCATATCCCTAAAAAAGGTTACTGCACGAAACTGTTATGGTGCATTGTGTGATATAAACTGTTGTCATTACCAGTTTAACAATTAAGTCAGTGAATAAACAGATTGAAAGGCATGGAAAACTCCTTGCACAAACAAGTTGTCATGGAAAAAAGGTTGAGTAGCATAATTTATGCCAAATTACTTGACCAGTGATTGTAGGAGGTACTTCTGAAAATAACCTGTTAAAGACTTTAATTAATAATAATAAAAATAACTTTTATTTACCCAGGGTAGCCACTTCAGTTATGAAACTGTTCTTCCAGCGGGCCCTGCATAACATAATATGTTATTACTACCCTTCTCCAATCTAATATGCTGAGCGCCTAGCTAGAAGGCAGAAGGTCCCATTGTTATAAGTCTCTGGTATGACTCGGCCGGGGTTCGAACCCACGACCTCCCGTTCATGAGGCGGGCGCTCTAACGACTGAGCCATCAAGGCATCAAACTTTGCTTATCTTGGAGCCCTGGTCAGTTCTGTTTGAAATAAGTTCATATTTCTTCACGTATGTTTCAATGTATACAGATTTTTATCATGTACTTGGAACTTGGTTGTTGTTCCTCCAAAAGATTCCTAGTGGAATTTAAACTGGAGGTCGTATGTATTCAGAACTAAAAAATGAGTGAAATGAAAATATATAAAAATAAACTACTTTACAATCTGAATCGGATACATACCCATGTTCCATCGCCTTTATGATGAAGCCTCTCCTCCTGTTAAGATAGAGCTTGTTAGCATGGGGGTGGGCCTCCAAAGATTCAATAGCCCCGCCCACAACCAGCACCACTGCATTGCCTTTCCCATTCTCACCCAGGAGATAGTCTATACTCTCACGACTGCAGTCACACATACCTGTACAAGGGTTAAAATCACACTCACATCAGATAATCAGATTTAAAGTTAATCTAGATTAAAGCTGGCCTAAAATGATTCAATAGCCCCGCCCACTTCCAGCACCACTGCATTGCCTTTCCCATTCTCACCCAGGAGATAGTCTATACTCTCACGACTGCAGTCACACATACCTGTACAAGGGTTAAAAATCACACTCACATCAGATAATCAGATTTAAAGTTAATCTAGATTAAAGCTGGCCTAAAATGATTCAATAGCCCCGCCCACAACCAGCACCACTGCAGTGCCTTTCCCATTCTCACCCAGGAGATAGTCTATACTCTCACAGCTGCAGTCACACATACCTGTACAGGGGTTAAAATCACACTCACATCAGATAATCAGATTTAAAGTTAATCTAGATTAAAGCTGGCCTAAAATGATTCAATAGCCCCGCCCACTACCAGCACCACTGCATTGCCTTTCCCATTCTCACCCAGGAGATAGTCTATACTCTCACGACTGCAGTCACACATACCTGTACAAGGGTTAAAAATCACACTCACATCAGATAATCAGATTTAAGTTAATCTAGATTAAAGCTGGCCTAAAATGATTCAATAGCCCCACCCACTACCAGCACCACTGCATTGCCTTTCCCATTCTCTCCCAGGAGATAGTCTATACTCTCACGACTGCAGTCACACATACCTGTACAAGGGTTAAAATCACACTCACATCAGATAATCAGATTTAAAGTTAATCTAGATTAAAGCTGGCCTAAAATGATTCAATAGCCCCGCCCACAACCAGCACCACTGCATTGCCTTTGCCATCCTCACCCAGGAGATAGTCTATACTCTCACGACTGCAGTCACACATACCTGTACAAGGGTTAAAAATCACACTCACATCAGATTTAGAGTTGATCTTGATTAAAGCTGGTATTCTTTCAACAATGAAGCTCCTTCTCTGAGACTGTGAGCAGGCCTCCAATTATTCAATTTGCCACCCCCCCCCCCCTTAGCACCAAAACATTGCCTTTCCCGTTGTCACCCAAGAGATAGTCTATACTCTCACGACTGAAGTCGTACATTCCTAAAAATGATAACAATTGTAACAGATTTCAAGCACAAGTAACTTTGGATGATTGCACCTTCACTTGTGAGAAAGACATTGTTCTTGCTCAAATTTTGATGAGATTTTCTGCACCTTTACTAAAATGCAAGGATTAAATGTGAGATCGAGCATGAGAGAAATATGATTTAAGTTTCTTGTCAAATTTAGACAAAATGTTATGTGTGCAGACATAGGGCTCCCCTTTAAAGACATATAGAAGTGGGGTCTCATGGGGAATTTGACACCATTCGGGTGTTAATACCCAACATCAGGCTTTAAGTAATGCTCTGTCTTTTCCCCATATGCTAAAGTCCTTATCTGACATTTGTATCACCCGTAGACTTCTCCGAGAAACAAGGGGGTATTTCTTGATTGACCTGCAAGTCTAGTGTCAGCAAATTATGACCTCTACACATGGAATTAACTGATGACCCTCCCACTATAAACAAAAGAAAACAAGACAAGAAGTAGACAAACCAGAACTCAAGATGTAGTCCCTGGCTAGCGGGAAATAGAACCATCCTCCCAGCGTCAGCAGGGTCGACCTCATCCCGGGAAACTTCTCTGAGAAGCCACACGCCTCCGTGCCGAAGTTGACGAAGGAACCCATGCTCATGACCCCGTGGGGGTGGAAGCCCATCAGATAGTTGTTCTTCGGGTCCAGGTCCGCGGTCTTGATCAGGTTGATGGGGAAGTAGTTCCGCATGTGGACCCAGACCCTCCAGCGCCGCATCCAGTTGGAAGGGCGCCCACCACGGAGAGGCGTGTGACGGTCATAGTAGATCCATGCTATAAGCAAAAGGGGGATCCAGTAGTAGCTAGCAAGGGGAGAGAGTTGGAATAGAGAACTTTGATGAGCGCTTTAAACTGGATTAAACTCTTAGTAAGATTTCTCCACCTCGCACAGGCGTGTGACAGTCATAGTAGATCCATGCTATAAGCAAAAGGGGGATCCAGTAGTAGCTAGCAAGGGGAGAGAGTTGGAATAGAGAACTTTGATGAACGCTTTAAACTGGATTAAACTCTTAGTAAGATTTCTCCACCTCGCACAGGCGTGTGACAGTCATAGTAGATCCATGCTATAAGCAAAAGGGGGATCCAGTAGTAGCTAGCAAGGGGAGAGAGTTGGAATAGAGAACTTTGATGAACGCTTTAAACTGGATTAAACTCTTAGTAAGATTTCTCCACCTCGCACAGGCGTGTGACAGTCATAGTAGATCCATGCTATAAGCAAAAGGGGGATCCAGTAGTAGCTAGCAAGGGAGGAGAGAGTTGGAATAGAAAATGCTTTAAAATGGATATTACTATTAGTAGATTTGTCTAATAATGTAGAGAATTCAGACATCTCATATAGGGCAGGCGTATGACAATCGTAGTACTTTTCAATGAAAACAAGTTAAAATATTTTTTATTGTTGCCAATTTGAAGAAGGGAAGTTGGCATACTGAACCATTAAAAATTCCTTCCCTGAATGAGTTAAAGATGAAGTTGAGTTCTGGTCATGAGATTGCATTGTAAAAGAAACGTTGTGGAATCGATCAGAAAAGGTTGATCATCTAGCATATAAGTATTGGTTTTTACTGCAAGGTTCTGGAATCATCAAAATGATAAGAAATTTGGCCCAGTCTTCGTAAAGTTACAAGCACTGTACACAGAAAAATGTATATGGGACTATGCGCACACGTGTGGGACACGTGCGTTTATCTCTCACAGACCATGTAGATAAACTAATTTACCAAATATATCAATTAGTAGGCGGTTTCCCGGCAAAATTGTTATCATCATGTATTAGTCAAAACATACTCTTTCACATGATTGGTCATAAGACCTTCCATTTCATTTTTTGAAATTGGGGCGTTACCAATACTGGTCTTTACCTTTAATGTGCATTCACACATTAACACCAGTGTTGCTAATTTGAAGAAGGAACTCTCTCATCTCAATGTAACAGTTTAGTAAAATATTCCTGTCCTGAGTGTGTTAACACATACCTGTATGTCTATTCAGATATTTTAAAGCGTTGATCATCCAGATTGATTGCGGAAATTAACAAATTCTATTCTCATTCTGTCAAGATTTAGTTATGGATCACTCCACAGGGTTGGGGAAATTTTTGTGACATACCAGCAGTGAGAAACTATATCTCCTATCAATTGTAACAATGTTTGCTCAAATTGAGTTTTGCATAAAAAATTAAAAAGCATAGCCAACTATCTTCAGAAGTACTTAAGCTTTATGGTGAATCAATATCATGGAACCAGAGTTTAAGAATTGTTATATGAATATGATGTCCATGTAACGCTGGTAAAAGGAGAAATGAGTATTAATAAAAGATTTTGAAGAAAAGCAACTGAAACAGGAAAGATTCTGGTGGGGCACTACTATATATATATATTCATTGCATAAAAATCTTCAACAGATAATTTCATCTTCCCTGTGTAGAAGAAGATCTCATAACAATTTTGCATGTACATTGACATAGTTTTTGCCCCAACCTCATGGAATGACCCTTATATCCAAACACTTACCTCGTGAAGAAAAGAAGATAGAAGGATACGAGTATGGACAGCAGCCCTTGGAACATGAAGCATAACCACCATTGGAAGACAGCAAGGGTCTCCAGACGCCGGTGGAGCGGGATCCGCAGGGGTGCGAGTTCTAACCCCATCACCTTCCGGACCCTGTGGGAGAGGGAAAGGGGGGAGGGAAAGGGGGAGAGGGAGAGAGAGAGAGAGAGGTAGGGAGAGGTAGGGAGAGGGAGAGAGAGGGAGGGAAAGGGAGGGAGGAAGGGAGGGAGGGAGAGAGAGAGAGAGAGAGAGAGAGAGAGAGAGAGAAAGAGAAAGGGAGGGGAGCAAGGGGAGAGGAAGATATGAATGGAGAGAGAGAGAGAGAGAGAGAGAGAGAGAAAGAGAAAGGGAGGGGAGCAAGGGGAGAGGAAGATATGAATGGAGAGAGAGAGAGAGAGAGAGAGAGAGAGATAGAGATAGAGAGAGAAGGAGGTGAAGAAGAAAAAAGAAGAAGAAGAAAAAGGAAGAAGAAGAAGAAGAGTGAGGGATAGGGAAGGGACAAAATGAGGAAAATGTTCAGTTGCTTTATAAAAAATAACAACAAAATGAAAAAGCAAATGGTTACCATTATGTGGGTTATGTTTGAGAACCATAGCACACTCAAAGCCTCCTGGAACTCTACAATATGTACACAGATTATTAATGCTAACAATTTGGGAATACTATAGAAACAATCTTAATTATTGCCCCATGCTGGAGATAAGAACCCTTAAAGGAAATGGTACAGGAACTCATGGAATTTCAATTTGGTAGATGTTTTTTCTGGAGATCAATGCGACGGCCTGCAAGATAACAAACATTCCCTAGTCGCAATAAAATAGTCTATAACTAGTTGGAAAATAGTGACAAAATAACAGCAAAGAAAATGTATTTTTTAAAACTATTTTCAACTCTGAATATATTTTGTTCCAAATGCTAATTAAGCCTAAAATTATATTTTTTTGTCTAATTACCTTTTTTTTTCATAAGAAAATAGAAGAAATTTTTTCAAGGAAATACCAAAAAATATAGAGAAAATAGCGAAAACATATTGTTCGCATGAAAAAAAAAAGATGAGTGTTATTACAGGCCTAACCATTCATTACTTACGGTATGCAATGGTAGAAAGTATGCTAAAACCAGATGCTTGCCTATTTAGAAGTTCAAAAACAATGATCACGTTTCTAAATTTTCACGACCAAAGTCAAATACTGCAGGCTCCCAACTCACTTCTTCCACAAGATAGGCCTACACAAAAGTAGAAGCTGATATTCCACAACAACAGACTTCCTCCAGTAGATTAAGGATCAAGGTCAAGGATTGCAATGTGCGTCTCACACAATAGCATAATCTGTTTTGGTATACAGCCAATGAACATGCAGTATTCATTAGATGTTTTAATTGGCAGAGTTGTTTAATAATCTACGAAAGGCCAAGAACAAGCTAATTGATACATGTAATCTAATCCTTGTATTGACTTGGGAAGTGATAACTGTAACCTCTACTTTATCTTGAACCTGGTACGACAAAGTGTCAAAAATATGAATGTGGGGTTAAGGGGAATGTCTTTGCCCCCCTCCTAACTTAATTTGCTAATTTGCAGATTTGAGTCTTGAATATTCAGTAAATCTGACTCCTACACTTGTTGATTTTCCACATTGGGGTAACTTATAAAATGCTTCGGTCCGCTCCTGGAGGACTTCCATGGCGAATACTTTTGTGGCCTGTATATTAGTCCTGGGGGGTGTTTCACAAAGATCCTAAGTAGAACTTAACTCTAAGTTGGACTTAAAAGTTATGGAAAGCCATTAGCATCTTTGAAAATATTTTGTAAAAGTTATTTTAAAAGGCATAAAATACTGATTCAAATCATAAATATGTTTTATTATCAAGGAGATGACATGTTCTTGATGTGGAATGAATGAGAAGTCTAAAATACTTAAATGTTTGCTTTTTAATATATTTTATTTTAAGACTACAAATGGCTCTCCATAATATTTAAGTCCAACTTAGAGTTAAGTTGGACTTAGGATCTTTGTGAAACACCCCCCCAGATTCTGTCTTTTTTTTATTAAAAAATTATTCTTCAATCATCTATGTCCTCCTCCCACATTCCTGAAAACACACCAGTCAAAAGTAAGAATAAAAGGCAAGAACTATCTCTGTTTTAGTGATGAGGGCATGGACCTGGGAAGCGAGGGTGCTGGGGGTGCAGGGGGGGGGGGGGGACAGTACCCCCTGCAAATTTTTTTGTTATGATATATTCAATGTATATCATTATATGCTTCGTTTACAAAATTGTCACACAGCCGTCAGCCACAAATGAAGATTAGAAACACAAAAACGTAACGTTTCTTTCACAAATTTTTTTTGGGACCAAAAGATTTTTTTAAAAAAGTGCCCTCTTACCCCCCCCCCCCCCCCCTGCTTATTCAGCGGCTGGCTGAGTCGTTGCGAAAATAATTTCGCAGTATATATATCTCAGTGGCGCCGGTGAAAAAAAATCGTTCCCAGGGCCCTGGATGAGGGTGAGTTTTATTTTCTCAGCTGATTGGGCTCGATCGCAACACTGAAACAGTCCAGGCAGTGGACATACTTGTAAAGGAGCATTTAATCTAAATAAATTTGATTTCTGCATGTAAGGCTTCACCCTCTATAAAAGCAAAATAAATGTTGATTTGCCTCAAGTGACTAGTATATGGTCATGTTTCTAGGTAACAAACAGATTTTCAGTAATCTACTGTGGTACAGTATGCAACTAGCTTCCTCCTGGGCTGAGAGAGGTAACTGGACATGAAATGCCTTTTCAAATCGTGGAGCAATGCAAAAGGTGACCTGATGATGAATCTCCACCAAAGTGAGAAAAAAAATCACGAGACATGCCACAAGTAACAAGTACATGTACACTAGATATGATGACAAATAGATTGTTGTTAATCTACCAGGCCAGGGTCGTGAATAAAGGTCAAAGTCGAATCCCTATTGTGATGGTATTAATACGTGATTTAATAGAGACCTAGAAGACAAGCGCTGCAAGAGACAGTCAAGTAGAAGATAGTCAAAACAAAGTATCACTTGGCCAATTATTAATCAATGTACCTGCATGCAGCTCCCCATTTTAATATTTCTTTAAAATATGGATGTGAGATAAAAGGTGAATGAAACCCAACAAACATTAGCTGATTTGCTGATAATCTTATTCAAAACTGTGAGCCAGTAAGAGAGTATCTTCAAATTACTCATATTTGGCTTAATACTTTGCAAGAAAAACATTCCCTTTAAAGTTTTTAGTTCCTTTGCTAGCCATTGTCCCATGGAACAATAGGGCATTAATAAACACCTTAATAAAATGATATTAAAACAAAAACCTACGGTATGTAAATTTTTCCTGCATCTAACATGAGTATAATGTGCATGAACAATCACTACAGTATGTTCATAAATTATTAGAATAAAAGTGCCGGGAGTTCTAACAAATCTAACAAGTACAGGAGTGAGGTGAAAACTAAAGGAATACAGATAGGCCTTGAAGTCATGCACTGTATAGGGATGGAATGGACTTTTGAGGTTTCGCCATCTTGTAGTTACAATGACTTCTTCTGGAATGGCCTTATATAGGCGCTATTTGAAATATTTAAAATTTAACGCAAGGCTAGCTGGAGCACAGGTAAATTTCGATTATTCAAAGTGTTTTAGGGGCTAAATTTTCTAGTTTTTATAATACATCCACAGGGGCATCCAAATATATCAACATTTTAAAGAATTACTATCCATCCAATTTTCAAAATTTCCCAAAACTTTGCATTACCTTTAATGTCCTTTACACACATTATTTTTTACTCAAAATGGAATAACTGCACAACAAAAGAGGATTTTACTAGTACTCATTGATGCAAAGTGTATACAGGTATGAGACTTTGATCAAGAACCCTTAAAAAAGAAATCTTAAACATCAGATGACTTTGAGAGAGTCAAGGGTATTCGTTAATTTTGTGCCCCATCCAAAGAGTCATAGAATGTTATCTTATCACCAGTATTACTTATGTCCATTATTTTTATTTATTTATTCATTTATTTATCTATTTATTCATTTATTCATTCATTTATTTATTTATTTATTTATTTATTTATTTATTTATTTATTTATTTATTTATTTATTTATTTATTTTAAAATTTATTTTGTATCTATTTTTATGTATATATATATATATATATATATATATATATATTTCTATTTTTTTTTGGGGGGGGGGGGGAGAGTCCATGGTCTAACTAGTTCATTGAATTATGGAATCATCAGGTAAAAAAAAAAAAAAAAAAAATCATTATTGAATGGGACAAGAATGAGCTTAAACCTTGTCCTTTTATCTGATGAGTTCACACAAGACACACACTGAAGTACATTTAGGCTTATATCCATTTATTAGCATAACCTCCAGAACAATAGCAACATAGCAATTGTTATCCAGGACCTTGTCTCATAAAGAGATGTGACTGATCCAATTCAATTGCAATTAAGGCTTCTAATGAGTCTAATCTAGGCCTAGTCTATCCCAATTTTACAGTCTCCTATCTCTTATGTACATACACGTACATGTGCAGCTGTGATTGATATCAATTGCAAATAAGTAGTGATTAATATCAACTCTTCGTAAGACGGGGACCTGGTGTAACTTTGAAGTTTGAACGGAGTACACCATCTAGTGAGTGCCTTAATTACCCGATATTTCATACATTTTCAGATACAGTAGTCAGGGTACAGACAAGGTATCACCGTCCATTTGGGATATACATGTATTGCTGATAATTAGCAGGTAGGCTTATTGAGAAATATATTGAGTGTTTATTGTACATTTCTATAAGTTGTTGCTGATCCCTTTTTTACACAACTTAACCCTTTCACGGTTCTAGGACACCTACCCCCTGGACAACCACCCCCGATAACCACCCCTAGGATAACCACTCTCTAGGACAACTACCCCCTAGGGCAACTACCCTCCAGGACAACTAGCCCTGGACGACTACCCCTGGACGACAACCCCAGCCAACTACCCCCTAGGACAACCACCTTCCAAGACAACTACCCCCTGGACAACTACCCCCCCTCCCCCCCCCCCCCCCCCCCGGACAACTA